AAAGTACCTTTACTATTGACCATTTGATTATTCTTCACAGATTATTTCAGTTTTATACATTATACCGCTTGAATTTACCTCGTAGCCATATATAATTATCTCTATTTAATCTAGAAGTTGATCAGCCACATCCATCATCAATTCTAGACCAGTGTTGCTATATGTCATGTTAATATCATGTAAAGAAACAGTTAAAAACATCATGTAAAAAAAGACAACACTCAGTTCTGTTTTGACAACCAAATGGACTAGCAATCGATTATTAATTATATCAGCATATTATGATCTTATATCTTTTGTTAGTTCATATCAAGTTGTGACATGCTTATAATATACACAATATCTTCTAATTTCATCTCAATGATTTGCTTATTTTAATTTCATAAAGATTTTCACAACAACGTGCAGGGTATCATCTAGCAGTATATCTTAAATCCTGTGCACATATGTAAAGGACTAACATTTTATTAACTGATTGTATGGATATACAGCATGACTTATATTTCATAGAGGGACACTAGAAACTATTTTCACAAACACATGGGTTTCATTTTTACTGATGAGCTATAAGAAAATCCTCTTATAATAACAATGATGGTCATGTAGTCTAAAACCCTATCCAAAAGTTGATTCGCACATATAGCAGTTTCTCCACTGGCATTTTGTTAGAGACAGTCCATCGACCTACCTCTGCAAACGGATTTTACCCACCTGTGAAAATGTTTTTTTAAGTAGCGGAAACATTTGATTACATAAGAGGAATTATAATTGGTAATAACCTAATATATATTGTTTTTACGACTTATCTAAAAAATAGAATTGGCCCATGCATATAAACATGGGCGAATTCAGGCTATAAATTTCATATAAAGGCTTAAGCCCTAGCCCTAGGAATCAAACTCTATGTAAATTTCATATAAATTTTATAGGAGCATATAAATTTAGAGTAAATTTTACAAAACTATTGGTACTTTGACTAAATTATCACAACACTATAGATTTAAAGTGTTGTATCATAAAACTACATATTTAATATAAGATTTATCACCAAACCATACATTTAAGGCCAAGTATAAAAAACTACAGCTTGAGTATTGGAGTTATCACAAAACACAGATGCCACTACTATCATGTTGAGAGTTACAAATGTTGTAGTTATGCACTTAACTTTGTACAAAACATATTGTTTTTTGATCTTCCATCTTAAATTTGTAGTTATTTCGTAACTTCAGCACTGAATATGTAGTTTTTCGACACATCACCTTAAATCTGTAGTTTTATGATAGTTTGGTTGAAGTATATATATAGTTTTGTGAAATCTAGTCATAAATTTATAAGGAATTAGGATAAAATAACAAAGTTGAGCCATAGGCTTAGCTTCTGGCTGGCTCCGCCCCCGCATATAGAAATTGTGCAGAGGTTGGAAGATTTATTATTATTATTTTCTCTATGTTAAAGTTCTAAATACTTGTGCAATTACAAGTTTCAGGTCACGAGACAATTAGACTGAATCTTCTTACCCGCCCCCTATGTTCTTCACTCACAATCTCGGCGCGTCAGTGATGGACGAAAGTTTATCGTTGGAACTCCCAAAACAATGATACTAGAAACTATGAAAAAAAAGGAACATCTGAGTTGACGCAAAAACGACTACTAAATTTTAGATCCCACCCTAAAATTTTATAGCATATCACATCGAACGTTTGAACACCTGTATGAAGTATTAAATATAGGCTAAAAAATAACTAATTATATAGATCACGACTAATTTACGAGACGAATCTTTTAAGCCTAATTTCTCCATGATTTGACAATATGGTGTTACAGTAAACATTTATTAATGATGGATTAATTAGGCTTAACAAATTTGTCTCGTAGTTGGATTCTGTAATTAGTTTTTTTATTAGTGCCCGAACATACCATACAACATTCTATATAATACCCGATGTGACACGCTAAAACTTTACAACCCTAATCTAAACACCCCTAATATTTTTGTGAAAAATACACTCCATTTCTCCACTCGGTGCACTACGTACTGTAGGCCCATGTAGCCTAGTATTTGCTTCTGTCAAGATTCCCCATCTACACATAAATGCACCATATCTAAAAAAAAAGTGTGCGCAAAAATATACTCCTACTACACTGTTCAATGGAGCATGTTGCATCACATAACTGGCACCACCCTAAAAACAGTAGCATGCAACAACATGCATAAAAAAAAGAGGCTTGGTAACTTTTTTTTTTATCTCTTTCAGGTGAAAACTATAGCTGACATTGTGGGCCCCACCCTCTCATTCTTCACATTGTGATATGTGGTGACCCCCACCAGAGACCCTAAAAATGTTTAAGCCAGTGGTTGCATGTGCATGCTTTGCATTGGACTGTCAAATGTCCAAATCCTTTTTTTAACCAGAGACCCTACATCATTCTTTTTTATGCTCCTATAAGCTTTAAGATGCCTCCCAAATGTCTTCTTGGGGCTGTCGAAATGCTTCAGTCTCAATCTTATGCATGTCCATGAATCTTTTGGAGGTTCTCTAGTCTAGGGGATCAAACCATCAGATCACAAAGCATGATTTTTAAGGTAAAGTCATTTTATGCATGGATCACTGCAAAAAGTTTCAGATTGTACTACTGTACTACTTCTAGCTAGTACTAGTACTCACCACTAATCTTACAGGATTAGTAGTGTCATCACTGTACATTAATAGCAAAATTCTCTTTCTTGATTCTGTTCCTGCAAAGTGTTTTTTTACCTGCAGTAAAAAGTACACCTGGGCTGGTGGCACCCTACACAACACAAGCACAAGAGTATGCATGCTTTTGAGTGTCACATGAAGCTCCTAGGCTGCAGTCACCAGCTAACTTTGGAAAATACGTCTCCATCTTTTTGAGAGGAGCAGTACTACCAAAATCCTTGATGCCATTGCCAAACACCCTAGTGCAGTGTGCAGTGTATAGCTTGCTGCATCCTACTTCTACTACTCACCCATCTGGTTACTCATCCTACCAGCTACTACTCCTACTAGTAGTACAGTAGTATAGTACTAGCACTGTTGCTGTGCACTGCCACTGTTACTTGCCTTGTGAACAAGCAACACCCATCACTTAGTTAAGCCTCAATAATCATTGCTTTAATTAATCTTTCTATTTTGTCTAATGCTACCAAGCTTATGTTTGGAGAGTTTCTGGCAGCTGTTTGCTGTAGCTTTCCTTCATAATCTCTGGCTCCCAAAACAGTCAATAGGCTTGATTAGAGAGTTTTTAGCAGCTGTATCTTTTTTCATAATTTCGAAAAGTTGTAGTCATACAATTTAGAAAGTTAACTAGAAGTCAAGCTGGTTTTCTTAGCTTTTTTAGATTCTCACCGGTTGGATTCTCACTAACTGTTTCTCAGAATTTAAAGCTCTTACCATTAGACCCTATATTTTCACATAGATTTTAAAAAATCTAGTTGTAACATATAGAGAATGATAAAAGAAACTAGAAGTTTGGTACCTAGTTTTTTCATATTCTACACTTATCAGAATCTCGAGTTCTGTTAAACATGGCTGATACTGGAGTATTAGCTAGGGCCTTCTTTGGTTTCATGGGCTAATTATTAGCCCCCACCTTTTAGCCCTAAATTAGCTCCCAAAGATCTAAATATGTGGGCTAATTTGGAACCAAAGTGAATTATTCCCCCTCAAAACATTAGCCCCTCAAAGGAGGTGTTAATGAGACTAATTTTCTGTGGGGACCATAAAAAAGCAGCTATCTCTCTCCTCTCTTTCTACTCTCTCTCTCTCTCCACCTTTTAGCATTGAATTAGCCCATGGATCCAAACATGCCATTCTAGACTAATGTTTAGCTTACCAATTCATAACTAAACATTAGCTCTGGGCTAATCTTTCAAATAGGGCCTAGTAGTAGCTGGGATGGATGTATCAGATGAGCACATTTGCTTGCTTAATTAGGTCGCATTAAATTCCCATGCACAGACAATCCTTGAACTTCCCTAGGTTCTCTTTCTCCCCCTCATCAGGTCAATTGGAAACTCATCATTCTATGATGTACTTCCACCTCAAGAGAACAAAAGAGAAAAAGGAGTGTTTATTTAATGCTCCATCTTTCATGAACAAATGACAAAGAAATAAACTACTAATTAATTAAAAACTGATAGTACTACTGCAGCAAGATCAGCTGTGGGTCTTGCAAAACCAAAGCAACTCTGAAGATATAATCCCATGGACAAATAACTGGTCCATGACAGGATAGGATTTCTACTATTTTTGAATTACGACCATCCATGATATGCATGGGGCCCAGGGTGACTCATCAAAAGAGAGAGAGAGAGAGAGAGAGAGAGAGAGAGGATGGGAAAAAAATAAGAATGATAAATCACACATGGCAATGTACAAAAAAATATATTGGCATATGCATGAATGTGAATTAGCATTATGGTTGGTGTGTACATGTATGAGTACTATTATATATCATATGTATTGTTGCTATCATATACATTGAGTGCAGGCCCTGGAATTTATAAAACAAATGTGATAAAATTGGAATCTACCTGTCTAGCTTATTGTTCCATTGATGCATACTTATCTCTGGTGTACCAACCAAGTAGGTGTACAACAGGTTAGATAAATAAAAAGAAAGAAGAAATGCAAGAGTTGATCATCAGGGACGGACGGTATCTGCACTTGTAAGGAGACAAGGGAAAAGACAGAAAAGCTCAACATCAGTGTAGCATTGTTAGGAGTGTTGTGTGATTTTGTGATTCAGGCACAAACCCAAACAGTTGCTCCTCATCTCTACTCTGTAGTACACAATTCTACTAGCTATAGCTAGTGCTGGTTCATCTACTACCAGTACACTGTTCTTGCCTCATGCAGATGCAGCTTCCTTGAGAATGCATAAAACAGTTCACTCACTGTGATATTGTGATATGTACACTAGTCATGCATTCTCAAGACTTGATTTTTTTTAAAATTGAAATATCTATTCAAGATTGATATAAACAACCCCTTGGCTTACTGATCAAAATTAACCAGTGAGAGCACATGTAGTAAAAAAGCTATTGGCACTGTGGTAATTACTCAAGTGAAAAAAAAAGGGGTTCAATTTTTGTTTCTTCTGCAAGCAAGAAAAGTGAAGAAGCTAGTCTGAAGAAAGTCTGAACTGCTCTACAAATCTTTTTAATCTTTTTAGCTGGCTCACACAGGGCCCTGAAAGTAAAGTATAGGATCAGCAGGCAGGAGCAGATAAAGAGGAGGAAGAAGAAAAGGGATTTGGTTTTTGGTGCCCTTCTCTTCTTCCATTTGCTCAGCTTTGCTTCTCCACTCTCCCCTCTGGCTACTTCAGCTGCTGCCTGCCAAGCAACACACTGCTACTGCTCCTCTCCCCCAATCCTTTGATCTCTCTCTCTCCCTCTCTCTCATGGCTGCTGCTTGCCTGGCTAGCTAGCTTCCAGCTGCTTGCTTCTCTCTCTCTCTTCTCTTGAGCATCCTTGTTGTGTTCTACACTTGGTGATGCTGCTGCTTCTGCTCTGAGTGTGTGTAGACTGTAGAGAGAGAGAGGAGAAGGAGGAGGAGGAAGGGAAAGAAAGAAGAATCTGAAAATTGCTTTAGAGTCATTGACCACCCTAGTTTCCTCCTTGTTTGTCCCCCCCTCCCCTCCTCCTTCTTGTTTGTTCCTTCCTTGAGATTCTCTGAACTCCCTTCATCCTACATGCCCTCCTGTCTCCTGCCTCCATTCTTCAGTTTTAATGCATCCTCTTCATCACTTCACTTGAGCCTCCCAAAATTCATTGCTTCCATGGTGAGGCAGATGCTGCATGCTATGTAGCAAGAAAAGATCGAAGCTCCTATGTTTCATCACCATCTTCAGCAGCAGCAGCAGCAGGAGGAGGAGGAGGGAGGAGGATTGTTCTTGGTGGAAGAGGCCGCCGAGGCAGCAGATCAGCAGCAGGAGAGCAGCATGTCCAACCTGACCTCCTCCGCCTCCACCGTGCCGCCGCCGCCGCCGCCATCCTCCGGCAACAACGGCAACAACAGCAACAAGAGGAAGCGCAGCCTCCCGGGCAACCCAGGTGCGTTCTTGTATAGCTAGCTCCTCGATCGATCCGGGCTCCGTTAATTTTCTCGGCAATTAAGCGAAAGCAATTGATCGAACCTATATATAGACCCGGAAGCGGAGGTGGTGGCGCTGTCGCCGGCGACGCTGATGGCGACGAACAGGTTCGTGTGCGAGATCTGCGGGAAGGGGTTCCAGAGGGACCAGAACCTGCAGCTGCACCGGCGGGGGCACAACCTGCCGTGGAAGCTGAAGCAGCGGGGGAGCAAGGAGGCGGTGAGGAAGAAGGTGTACATCTGCCCGGAGGCCAGCTGCGTCCACCACGACCCCTCCCGCGCCCTCGGCGACCTCACCGGCATCAAGAAGCACTTCTTCCGCAAGCACGGCGAGAAGAAGTGGAAGTGCGACAAGTGCTCCAAGAAGTACGCCGTCCACTCCGACTGGAAGGCCCACTCCAAGATCTGCGGCACCCGCGAGTACAAGTGCGATTGCGGCACCATCTTCTCCAGGTCCTTCTTCTTCCTCCCTCCTCCTCCATCTTGCTTGCTTCCATCCATCCATGGCGATCGATTGCAGCACTTGCACTCCTACTGCCTTCTGCTCAGATATACCTGCCTTGGCTGGCTTGCCGTGCTCCTTTCTCATTGCCACTTTGCCAGTAATCCAGTGTTCTCGCTGCCGCCTGCGCTTTCAGTTGGCACAGTGACGAGTAGGAATCGAAGCAGCCTATAAGATGAGCGTTTGTTAGTGTTAACACACCTGTAATCATCCAATAATTAGGGCAGCGATAGATATACCGGTTGTTGATTAACCAGCAACAACCATGTGCCCATCCCTGCCGCGAGCATCTAGCCGAAAAGATTTGTGAACAGTGGCAACTAGTACGTAGCTTAGCTAGCTGCTCGCTGCAGCAGCGAAACAAGCAAAGAAAAGAAGCCATATCGATCGATCGACATCGACATCGAGATCGAGATTGGAGTCGTTTCTTGCCTCTTCTTCTTTTTGTTTCTTGGCTTGTGCTGCCACTGCCATCCATGGCTGAAACCTCCTTTGGATTGATCCGGGCTGATGAATGCGCACGGTGCAGGACCCGATGGAGACGACGACGACGATGACGACGACGCTACTAGTGGTAGCTAGGTTGGTGGTAGTACTACTGGCTTGTGCGTATGCGCGTGTCTGTTTGCATTGCGTCCGTGTGATGAGAGAGAGAAATGAGAGATTGGGAAACAAACAAGCAGCAAAGCTATTTGCCCATAGGACAAAGGAAGGAGGGGAGATCTGAGCTTGATGATGATGAGCTATGGCTAGCTAGCTGTGGTGGCAGCTGATGATGCTGAGCCATGGAGGAAGAAAGAGAGGAGGAGGAGGAAGAAAGAGAGACATGTGAATCTCTTTGCAGTCGTCTGCATCCTGCTCCTGCATGGATGGATGGATGGCTTTTCCATCTCTCTCTCTCTCCCTCTCTCTCCCAGGCTTTGCCTATGCTGTTCATCCTAGCCACTATTCCTCCTGCCTAATTGCCTACTCCACTCTACTCTGCAAGAGTGTTCATGCATGGCTATCTCTCTGTGTTGTCACTTCCATGGAGTTCATTCTAGCTTGAGCATCTCTCTCTATCCTTTTTTTTTTTGAGATGGCTATAGGTGTAGTAGGAGTGTAGAAGCAACAATGACAAGTGAGCAAGAATACGGGGGAAATATGATATCTTTGGCTTTTGGCCTTTTGAAATTTGATGTTTTTTGGTTTTGGTGTGATCCGTGTGGTTTTTGATGTGTGTGTCTTTCGGTTCTTGCATTGCATGCAGGCGTGACAGCTTCATCACGCACCGGGCGTTCTGCGACGCGCTCACCGAGGAGAGCGCCAAGGCCATCGGCGGCATCCCCGCCGCCATGGCCGCGCCGGGGCACCACCACCACCACCACCACCACCACCACCAGCTGCTCTTCTCGCCGCCGCCGGTCATGGCGCACCACCAGGAGCTCGCCGCGCTGCAGGAGCAGCAGCAGCAGCAGCATCACCAGGATGTCATGCAGTCGCCGCACCAGCATCAGCAGCAGCAGCAGCAGCGGCAGCAGCTGGTGCAGCAGAACTGCGGGTACGCCGTGAAGCCGGAGATGGCGCCGTGGCCGACGACGATGCCCTACGACCACCACCACCCGCTGCTGCAGCCGCTCTGCAACGCCAACGCCGCCGCCACGGCGCAGAGCTCGGCCACGTCCGCGCCACCGACGACGCCGCAGCTGCCCGCCGCCGCCGCCGCCGCGCACCTGTCCGCCACGGCGCTGCTGCAGAAGGCGGCGCAGATGGGCGCGACCATCGGCGGCGCGGGCACCGGCGCCGCGGGCGCGCACTACGCCCACATGGCGTCCCCGGCGGGCGCGGGCGCGCCGGCCGGCGGCAGCGCCACCTTCGGCCTCGGCCTGTCGTGCCTCAACACCCACCAGGACGGCGGCGGCGGCGGAGGCAACGGCCTCATCCCGGCCGGGATGATGGGCCACCTCGCAAGAACCGCCTCCCACGGCCGGAGCGGCGAGGACGTCGCCGGCGCCGGCGGCGGTGGCGGCGACGGCATGACGAGGGACTTCCTCGGCCTCCGCGCCTTCTCCCACCGCGACATCCTCCTCGCCGGCTTCGACTCGTCGTGCATGGGCCACGTGAACGCCGCCGCCGGCATGGCCGGCTACGAGCCACCACCACCGCACCATGGACAGCCACAGCACCAGCACCAGCAGCAGCAGCAGCAACAGCAAGGCGGCAGCAACGAGCCATGGCATGGCATGGGCAGCCATAGCTAAGCTAAGCTACTTTAGCCATAGCCATTTCTTCTTCCTTCCTCTCATCAGCTAGCCATGCATCACACTTGCCACCACCACCATTGCCTTGCTCTTAGCTAGGGTCAGGCCATCACTGCTTTTGCTATACTACTCTAGTGCAAAGATGCCTTTTTTGAAATGGGTAAATCTCTCTCATATTTCTCCTCTCCTTTTTAAACATCTTGTGTTTATGATATAATCTCATGATCTTGGAAGCTAAGCAAGCAAGTAAAAGCAGCCATGGCGAAGGCATGGATGGATGGATATGATACGGTACTGCAGGCAATCAGTCAGGGAGTTTGTAATTTTTTGTTCGTTTGGTAGGAGGAGAGAACTGTATAAGCTAAGCACGGATCAGGTGAAGGAAAAACTAAAGCTATGTGACAATCAATAATAATACATGCACCCATCATCTCTTTTTTGTATACTCTAGTAATATATTTCTTCTTATTTTTCAATTGCACTTCACTAGAAAACTTACAATTATATATCACCCTCTCAGTTGCATTCCAATAATGTGATGTGATGCATTCCTTTTTGGGAGTAATATATGAACTCTATATAGGGATATAGGAGTATGATGAATGAACTGATCAGTCATTTTCTATATAGATTTTTAAGAAAATATTAGCTTGGAGTAGCTAGGAAGATATCCCATACTAATAATTTTGAGATGGATATGATGTGTGGCCTATGGTGATATATATATGAGTAGTTTATTGTGTGATACACATGAGTGTCCGTGTACTGTTTGCTGCAATCAGTCGATGTACTCGGGAGTGCCGAGTACTGTTCGCCCGTGACAAGTTTTTGTTTGGTAATGGTCATGGGCGGGCATTATTCCATGCTGGAAAGGAAAAAAAAACAATGAAAAACTTATATATATCTGTGTGTGGTGTGTAGATGCCTTCTTGGAAACTTTATTCTAGTTTCAAGATAAGACAATGTAGTTTTTTACCTAGACTTCACTAGTGTGATGCCACTGTACCTAATCTAATTTTCTGGAACTAAAAAAATTGCAAATGTGTAAGTTGCTACTCCTACTAGCTAGTTTCTTGATCTCACCCTCACGTTGACAGGGTAAAGAAAATTGGGTATATATATTTACCTTCAATCTCCTGAAGTTCGTGTTATACTCTTATACTCTTCTCTCTTTTTTTTAACGAAAACCATTATACCATCATCGATCTTTCTCTTGTTTGTTTTCTTCTAAAAGGTTTTATGTTAGCAACTCACTATTATCATAATAAGTTTCACGTTGGTTTCTAGCTGATGTGTTTAGTTAATCCTATGTATCTATAAGGTTCATTCTCACTAAATCCTATGTTTCAGGTAATTCTTAATTCTCTTTTCTACAATGAAGTCACATCATTTCAATTATTTCTCTTTAGATTAATCATCAAGGGTGTAAAGTTCATCGCTTCTTCCAAAAACCACACCATACAATCCAATCATTTATAACATTTGGATAATTGATCAAGATGCAAAATATATAAGCACATGAAAGAAAATCGTATAGGTATATATGTAAGTAAGAAAATTCTAACTCATATATACTATTTTATCGCTTAAATTTTCTCGTGGGAACGAGCAGGATACCTATCTAGTTTACTTACGACTGCTCCAATTTATATAGAAGAATAGCATAATTCATGTACTTAAAATGATGTGCTCTTTGTTTGAAATCCTCCAGAGATTATTTTTGCAGCATTATCATCGCAAAATATCCTTTTTATTTTGAAAAATCCTACTTATCATGATTCACAGATTTTATCGGAGAAATCACAGGAAACGAGAGAAAACACTAAAACAAATATGCCGGTATATATTTAACCATTTTCTTTTGATCTTCTTGCCTCTTCATTGCTTACAAAAGTTCCATATATATAGCTTGATATATATATATATATATATATATATATATGCCTATGGCCCTCTGTCTTTGCTGCTATAGTATTTTCTTCCAAAATCTTTAGCTTCTCAAATATTACAGATTTTTGCTACCTTAGATTATGAGAACCAGTAGCTATAAATCTAGAAAATAAACTTAGCTAGAAACAGGGGTAACCTATTTTTATAAAGATTTTTACCAGTTGGCTACTCGAAATGCTTATCAGAATTTTCAGCGCCCAAAACATGGCCTATCAATGGTGCTAATTAACAGCTATGATAGATACCAATCAAAAGAATTTATTGGTGTATAGATATCATATACAAGGGTGACGTACGTGAGATTTCTCTAAAAAATATGACGAACTTACACCTTTTTTTAATTGTTAATACGTTGAAGCTCAAATTAGTTTTTGGTAAATAGGAGGGTCCATCTAAGAACGAGGAATAGAAAGATATAAGCATGCATGTCATTAAATCCTACTATAAATTATGCACATCTTTTTCTTGAGACAACAAGAAAATGTTTGCATGTATATATACATATTATTATTGGTAAATTAATATGATAAGCTCCTAATGAATCTCTTGGGGCTTATAATAATAAGCATGTACTCCCTCCGTCCTAAAATATAAGTGATTTTAGATGGATTTAATACATCTTAGTATGATAAATCTGGACAAGCTCCAGGATATGTCACATCCATTTAAAATCCCTTATATTTTAGGATGGAGGAGTAACTGTCACCCTATTTTTTAAAATATTTAATTTATCCCTAGACCACTTGTTTAAGCTAATATTATGTTTATTTTTTAAAATATTTAATTTATCTGTGTAATCAGCTAGGTTATCTGTAAAAATAATCTATGCTTAGATCTCCTCATCCTAGAAAGCATTGCTACTATGGCGCATGTATCGTAAGCGAAATTAATCTTAACCCCACTTTCTACTACTATATAAACTCTCTTCGTTTTAAAATAGTTATCCACATGGGGATTCATAATTTATCCCAAAATAGTTGTTACAACTACTACTTCTCTCATCAATCACTTTCCACTTAAATTTCTCCTCATTCTACTCACTTTTCTTCCACCATTTTCAACCATAGGCATTTAATATGGGGTTTTTCTTTCTCAAACCTTAACCTATGCTAGCCTAAAACAACAACTATTTCATCAATCCACGTATGATGTTTGTCACATTGGACAATCCTAAAACCGGTAGTTAACATCAGGACGGGAAGAAGATGTGAGGCGTGGAGAAGAGGACGAGCCAAGCTAGTGATCTCAGCAGCCGGCACGGAGAAGACAAGCCAGGTGATCTCACACAGCCTGAGACGATTGCTCCCTGCAGGCGGCAGCGACTGCTTTGTCACTGACCGTTTGCACTCCTCTTCCAAGTGTGTGTGTGTGTGTTTTGAAGGGTGAAACAACATATTCTCCGCAGCAGGGATGCGACAAAGAACCGCCTGTTAACCTGGCCCCGTTTGCTCTCTGGCCACTTTGGCTTGTAGGATATTATGATCTTACTTCCTCCGTCTCAAAATGAAGCCATTTATGAGGTTGGCACGAGTATTAAGAAAGTAGGTGAGAATGATTGGAGAAAGTGTGCGATTGGTTGAAAAGAGAAAGTATGTGAAGAAGAATGGTTGTGATTGGTTGAGAGGAGGAGGTAGGTGAAGAAATAGCTTCATTTTAGGACAAGACACTGTGCTAGAAATAGCTATATTTTGGGACGGAGGGAGTATATGAGAGCAGTTTAGGTACAATGGGGGATGCATGCACCTAAGGAATGCTATATGGCTTTCGAGTTTGAAGTGAACGAAGAACATGAATATTGTTTCCGAAAGAGTGCAGCACTACTTAAAAAAAGCTTTTCCCTAGCGGCCATTTCATATTTTTGCTGGCGGCTAGTCACTACTACGAAAACCATTTTTCGTGGCGGCCATTTTAGATTTTTGCTGGCGGAATTTACAGCCGCCACAAAACAAAGGCCAGTGAAGATCAAAATCTTCGCTAGCGGTTATTGACCGCCAGCAAAAATAGATTTTTGCTAGCGGTCATCTTAAGCCAATCGCCAGCAAAAATCTATTTTCACTGGCGTTGGCTTAGGACGGCCGGCTGAGTTATATCAGCCGCCATCGAAAAAGGATTTGGGGAACAAAAAAAACCGGTGCGCAGCTGCCCAGCCGCCAGTGAAAATACCCATGCAGCCACCCATTGATTCATTAATTTCAAATCCACCTCTAGATTCGCTGCTCATTTCCAAATTCAAACATGAAATACAAAATCATCATCAGCACAGATCAAACATCATTTACACAGATCAAACATGATTTACACATCATCTGGAACAACATGCAAAAAGAAAAAGAAAAAAAAAATCAAATCTAGCCCTAGCCGTGGGAGCACGGTCGACGGCGGCGGATCCGGCCACCCCGTGGCCAGGCGGCGGCGGATCCGGCCACCCCGCGGCCCAGCGGCGGCAGACCCGGCCACCCCGCGAGCCGCCGTCCGTCCCGAGCGCCGCCGCGCCCGCACCAGAGAGCCGCTGCCACCGCCGCGCCTGAGCTCGCCACGCCGCCTCTCGCTGCCGTCGCCCGCCCGCCTACCGTCACCGCCGCGCGCTTGCCTCGCGTTGTCGTCGTCGCCACGCCGAAAACGCCGCCGCCGACTGTGGGGTGGGAGGAGGATAGAGTAGAGGAGAGCAGCCGACGGCGGTGGAGAAGAGAGGGAGGAGAGACGCGAGGGAGAGAAGGGAGGGAGGGGAGCTGGAGAGAGGGGGCGGGTAGGTGGTGGACTGGCGGTGGGCCGTGTGGTCATATTAATAGATCGATGGTGGTTCATCTACCTTTCGCTGGCGGTTGCTTAAGTTGGCCGCCAGAAAAAATAATTGTATTATCCCTATCGGTCTGTATAACACAATCGCCAGCGAAAATTATCCATCTTCGCTAGCGGTGCACATAAGTGACCGCTAGCGAAAATAGACATATCTTCGCTGGCGACTGGTATAACGCGGCCGCCAGCAAAGATCTATTTTCGCTGGTGGTCGTTGCCCCTTACCCCCCCTCGTTACAATTTTGCTGGCGGTTTTGGCATTTTTCTGCCAGCGAAAATCATAGACCAACGCCATGAAAAATCATTTTTCTAGTAGTGAGTGTAGCCGCCAACAAGCAATGGCCAGTGAAAATAGAGTATTTTCACAAGCGGGAATTAGCCGCTTGCGAAAATATATTTTCACTGATGGCTATCTAAAGAGAACCGCTAGTGAAAATCACACCAGTAGATCCAAAATCCCTCACCCCAGATCCAAAATCCCATACCCCAAAATCCCCCACCCCAAATCCAAAATCCTTTGCCACCCTAATCCATTCACAAATCACAAATTCATCACAAATCTCATAATCCATTCAACAGATTCATTCACAAACATTCTAGACCATTCACAAATCACAAAAAATACAAAAAAAAAATTCATTGCCTGAAGGTTGTCGCTGCACTCTGCAACGGCCACCGCACCCGTCGCCGCTGCTACCACAACTGCAACCCGCTGCTGCCGCCGCCGAGG